AGTCGCGCTAACGTTGATAAAGCGGACCTATTTCCCACAAAATGGGCAAGTAACTTCCAGGAACAACTCGTGCACTCAAACATGTCACGCATTCTTCCAATTGTTAGTGTACGTTCACGTATTGTAGCAGGGTTTTGAGCTCTCTGAGTCCTTAGAAAGGCTCAGGTATCGATCCACCCTTTAGAGCATTTCGCTTTAAAGGGTGGATCGATTTAGTCAGCGTTTTTCGCAATAGTCGACATCTACACTTTCTTAGTAGCTCGAATCGCTGGTGGACTCTCAAAATGCTACCGCAAAGTATAAACACACACTCAGAACCTTGTAGTAGCTAGGAAGCGAACAAGACCTACCAGGCTTTTCTGGGTGGGACGTTTAAGGACTTTGTACGAATAGAAGACAGGTATAAGAGCACCAACAACAGCTGACGCAAAGTGGCAGATCAGCGAGAACATCGGCTCTGAAACCATTCAGTGAATCGTACGGAGTTCATGAAACAGCAGAATCCACAACGGCAAAGCACACCAACCAAGGAAAGCACACGGTTCGAATAGTACCATACCCATTTACTGAGTTTTGATATGGGTAATGATATCCGAAATCTTTGGGAAATGAGGCAGTGTAATGAGGCGATTATCTCACTGATAAAGCCAGCTATATGATAACAGTAAAGAAATTACTGTACATTACTAATGACATAAAAGCTACAAATACAAAGAGTGTGCGGTGAGATTTCAAATTTTCACCTTCGCGCCGAACAAGAGCATGATTTGAGCGCGTTATCTCACGGTGGGAGTGTCTGTTTTGGCAATCCCGACCAGGGCTGTCCTACCGTTGGGGGCGGGGGGACTTTTGCGAAAAATGACCTGCTCAGAACGTTCTCCTCTGTTACGACCCCCACCTCACCATCCTACCTACCATCTTATGCGATCTTCTCAATTTCCTTCTACGTTTCTCTAATGGTAAGAAACTGCCGTCGAGGCGGAGGCAGCCTGGGAAGAGGTGTATACTGCACGCTTGAAAAAGGGAAAATCGAGAAAATGAGCAGCCGGAAATATTTTATTTTCGTGGATACGACTATCCTCTCTGCAGTGACCATTCACGACCCCCCTCGCTGGGGATCCCCAACATACGACATGGCCTGTGATACGACCCATAATCTGCAGGGATAGTGGTCCTTCACTGGTCTTACCTAGTTTTCCACCAGTTGTTGAAGTGGGCAAGCAAAAATGATTGGTGCAAATAAAATCTTTGAAACAGATTAATGAACTATGTTGTAAAATCTAATAAATGAGAATTATTGAGGGGGGTCGAAAGCAAAAGAGATAGCTCAGCTTCCGTTTCGCACGTGCCCTTAGACGGAAGCCGAGCAAAAGCATATTCCTCCTTCCGTGCTCTTCAGTAAGGAAAGGAAGAAAAATCAATTGTAGCAAGTTTATAAGGTATAAAGTTGAAAACGATAAAGACTGAGAGGTTTAAGAATGCTAATTGATTGGATAACGTGAGTAGGACGTCGTAATTACGAAAAACTATCAGTTGATGTTACATTATAATATCCGAAAATACTACACGACACATGCAGGTAAAAAAATGTGTTACATAGACACCAATTAAACGAAAAAGCCACTGAGAATACCTCGGACTAATCTGCTTATGCTACCGTAATCATTCATAATAGAGTATTTGTAACATATAAGTTTATTTCTATAAATACTCCTCACTATACTAGCTATAATGAAGTCCTCACTGTAACCACTGCTATAAAGCATTCTTACCATATCCGATATTCTTCCAATAAACGTATCAAAGCAAGTACAGGTGTTGGCTATCCTAAGGGTTTCTGTGTATATAACGGAAGCCTTATTGTTAGTGGAGATATTTGAATCACTGTGTGGGAATCTAATCACTTTAAAGTTAAAGTCATCTGTTTTATTATATAAACCAGTAGTAATTTGGCCGTTTACTATATTGATGGTTAAGTCCAAATAATTACTGTATAGCTCAGTCGTGTGTGTCTTCTTCAACTGTAGGGTATTTCTATAGACCTCCGCGAGTTGTACATCGACTTCATTTTCAGACTGGTTATGTATGACTAGGAGATCATCCATATATCTGTATGGAATGAGCAACTTACTAGCATTGAATCTATTGCACTTTGCATAATTATATTCCATGATTGACAGCGTAAGGTCTGCGCTAAACAGCGGGGCTGAAGTTGCCTCCTTGTGGAACACCTTTAGTCTGATTGAATATGTTACCAGCAAAAATACAAAAACTGTTGCGCAATAAGTAATCGATAAGATATATTAAGTCGGTAGCTTTGTAGTATCTGTAGTTGCTTTTATTTGCTCTACCGTCTGAGTAAAAAACATGGTAACCATTACTAGCAATGAACGCCTTATTGGCATTTTTGAAGCAGATGCTCATAAGCTGTTTGTGGCATATTCCTGATAAATGAGGCTATGTTCCAAGTTTGTAAACATGTCAGTGAAATCGGCAGTATATATTTTAACATTGCCGTAGGCAATATTAGTCAGCTCCTGACTTATATTGATGTTGTCTATCGACCAGTAAGTCTTAATCGTTCTGTTTCGGTTTTGCATCACTTTTGCATAGTTTATGAAATGGTTTTTGAAATGTTTGAAAATAACATGTAGTTCTTTGGCTAGAGGTTTGATGCTACTGCTATGTGCGCCAGTAATATATCTGAACTTGATCGGATCTCATTGTTGCAGTTTTAGGCAGAGCATATATAGTTGGTAGATCTGAATCAACTTCTATATTGAGATTGTTCCTTACACAGAAGAACTTGTGCTTCAGTATCATCGGATATTTGTTACCCGACCTCACAAATTCATACGTGTTGTTACTGTCTCCATATGCGAATGTGCCATTATCAGCGTCATAGCTTATTCCCATTTCCTTCATCAAGTTGACTAAGTAGAATTTTTTACATATAATTCCGTAGTTGTTACTAGCTTTGTCCAGAGGGCAAAAAATATAGTTGTCCTGATATTGTTTGATCAAGTCGTAAGGTACTTGCTCTCCTATACTGATGATATTATTCCTAGTGAGCAGCGGTTTGACTTTACTATGGTAACACGAACGTAGATGCTGTTGAAGTAGGTTAACTTTGTGACTGTTAAGTTTATATTTGTACTTAAAATAATTGACAACTTTATTAAGTGTAGCCTCATAAATCGTTTTGACTTCTTTCCTTGTTATTCCTGTGTCTATCCTATATTTCGTTCCTTTCATCATAAGTTTCCTGAACTTTCTTTCTTTTATTAGATTCATATTGCCTGTTATAATGTGCCCATGCTTGCTGTCAATATATTTCTGCACATCTTCAGAATCACAGATACAGTCACTAGTGATTATCCGCTTCAATTTTTCGTTGTCGAGATTCTTTAACAATTTGTTATAATTGCATATTCTGGTAGCCATTGTGTTATTATACTTATAAATTATTCTGATAGGTGTGAAGTTACAATCATTCCCATTAAGCAATATTTCTTTGACAGTGCGTGAATTAAAAATTCTGTTGAAGTGTATCTCGTTAAATATTCTGCTTCTGAAGCTGACTTCAATGTTATGAAAATTCTTTCTGGGTTTTTCTTCGATGACTGAACCATGGTGAAAGTAAGCTAACAAGCAAAATATCAAATATTTTGTTTTGTTGTTTACGGTCTGTAGAAAATTCACAGACATCGAGAGTTTAATGATCTTGTTGATTTCTTCCTTACGAAGGCTCTTAAGTAGTCTGAAGTATTGTATAGGCTTCAGTGTTTCTGTACTGTTGGTGATTTCTTCTATGACGCTATTATATGTAATTCCTTTCTTGCATCTGTTGGTTCTCTTTCCTCTATTAATTCTTTGCTTCGTAATCTTAAGCGAAAAGAACGGATGATTGCCTTTGTACAGGAGAGGGTTGTCCACATTTGTGATATTTCCATAACCTTTAATGTTATCATTCAACCCAAAAGGATATGGTGTCATGAGCAGTTTTATCCAAAACATTTCTTTTTCGAGAAGGGTGGTTTTATCATTATCCTTCTGAGAGTCCAGCACTTGTACAGAAAAACCCTTGTTACATTTTTTGAAATGATTGTACAAGGGCGTATGTATCTTTTGCGTGTATGTGTTGGTAACATGTTCTCCGATTCTTTCTTTCAGTTTCCTTATAGTCATACCAACATACTGTATTCCACATCCATTGCATGTTAAACAGTATATTACGTTCTTAGTCTTGCAATTTGTATCTATGTCTTTATAAGTTTTGATGTGTAAGCCTGTAACATGTGACACTATGACGTTATCCGTTTCTGTGAAACTACAGGTTCGACAATTTTTGTTGCATTTGCAACCCTTGTTATCATTACCAAATTCATTGAGTAAGTAGTGATCAGCCCCATCCCTTACCTTGTGGAACCTGGAGTGGACGAAGTAATTTTGTGCGCTAATTTGAGCATTTTTTGACCTAAATCTAAGCGCATGAGCGGTCAAAACCCATACGCAGAGAGGAGTCTTCCCGAAGGTTCGGCAGGGCTGCTGCCCAGGGGGTGGCTCTCCCTGCAAGAACTACCAGCGCTGGAGGCGCCAAAAACTGAGCCCTCCTGCCGTTTTTGACTTGTATAACCCCGTCAGCGCCAGTCCCTATTTTTATAGAGGTATGGCCCTCTTGTGGAAGAGGCATGGACCTCCTATGTGTGGAAAAGCATTTGTGAAGGATATGGGACTATAAATGAATAAAAAGAAAAAAGAAAAAGAAAAAAGAAAAAAAGGAAAAAGGAAAACGCGCGGGGCCAACATGTGTAAATAACAAGGACTACAAATGTCAAAACACTGAAAAGAAGAAAAAATTTTGTGTATACATGAGACTGCTGTAACGTGTATAACGAGCAGATTAGATGAATAATCGTACATACATGAACAATATATAAACAAGAAGAAGAGAGGAGTAAGAAGAAACAGAGGAGAAGAAATGCGCGCCAATTTGACGCATGACGGCCATTGGCCGGTACGAAGACAGACGACCAGTTGGTCGAACCCCATTGGGGTTTGGCCGTAAGGCCAGAAGAGAAACAGAAATGGTTGAATAAACTCATGACCCTTCTACAGGTGCTACCATCACATAGCGTCGGGTTGCCCTCGAGCTGCTACGTGATGATAGTATACACAAATAAAATCTTTGAAACAGATTAATGAACTATGTTGTAAAATCTAATAAATGAGAATTATTGAGGGGGGTCGAAAGCAACGCCGGACCCCCTCAATAATTGCTCTCATTTATTAGATTGTGTGACAACATAGTTCATTAGGGGGTCGCGGTGCAAGCGGCCGGACCGCCTCAATAAAACTGGACCGGTGCAACGCCGAACGCCGTCCCTCTCCACGCCCCAGCGTCTGCATCAAAAACCACCACACCATTAGCCGTCAGAACAAGTGAACGGGAGTTTGACCGCGCTAAAAGACCTCGTCCTGAAAAATCCAGCAATTTATTAGCTTGGACGAGTTCTCCAGTCTGAAAAATTCTTCGCACTCAATAGGCGATGTGGTCCCGCCC